GTCACACCATCTGGGCCTGGTGCCTTTTCTGATCTTTTGCCACGCACATCCTTTTCACAGATCGTTAGAGGTGGGGGCTGGAGGGAAGGGTGGTGATTGTCAGGGGAGCAATTGATTGACTCCAGGCCCCCCACAGGCCTCTAGTCTACTGGATAAGCAGTTTAAACAATGGATGGATATATTCAGCATTAATGTTTGGTTGTTTAGGCTCTGACCATGTCAGTTTCTGCAAAGAAGCACCTAGTTCAGCACAACGGGAAGTGGGAATGATAATTTTCCCTCTCTTTGTACATAGATTCAAATTATAAATGAACTCAAATGACAGATTCCAGGAGGATTCTGGGGTGGAGATGGGACTTTTCAATTGAGGTATGAACAGTGACATCAGAAATAAAATTTAAAAAATTCATTTTTGTTCCTGAACCAGATCAAGTTACCATGATGAGTTTTCCAGACCTACACCTATTTTTTTTTATATTGACAGGATACTGTTTAATCAAGACATCAGCTCTGTTCGTGGACACAAACCGACAGTGGTACTACATTCTGAGCCACCGCACTTCTAGGAGGTACCAATTGTCAGATGGTCTTGCCTCTCCCGGTGAACAAAGACAAAATATTAAGACTAAACTCAACCTAGACGTTGAATTCAATGTTCATTATTCACTACCTTAAATTATATTGCACTGTTATTATGAAGAAAGGTTGTTCAGCTGTAATGGTTCATGTTACCAGTTTATCAAAATTCAGTACAGCACTCTGAACATTACTTACAACTTCCTGAGCCCATAGTCCACTGGCCAAAGAGAGTACATGAAATACAGACCTAAGGCCATCTGTGTAAAAAAATGTTAGACAAGCAAATGCACCTTGCAGAAGAATGTATTGTCTACATGTGACTCTATAAATAGGCTCTGAGAGTGCTTCTCTGAACATTGCTGTCATGCAAGTGAAATGTAATGAATGCTCCTTTGTTGCAAGTATTAAAATCCCTATACAGTATAAAGAAGGCCTGCCTCAGTCTACTCAGTCCATTTGTTTATGATAGAACAACCCTAAGAGTCATTTAAATTTCCTAGTTTGGACTGCCACAAACTTATCACATAGAAAATGAAGATCCAATAAGGGCCAGCACTGACCTAAATTTTACTGTTTACATGATATGCAGATATGTTACTGCAGCCACAAACAGGTTGCATTCAGCATTGAGAACGCAGAGTGAAACCACATCAACACATTTAGACCACTCTGTAAAACCCCAGATACAAGGAAAGAATTCCACTTCTTTGGCAATACACATTTGTAACTATTTTATTGCACTGCTTCTCGACAAGTGATGTAGGAACATTTGATGTAGTCGCAATTAAAGCAAAGAAATTGCTGATTGAGATATTGTTTATTGATTAAGTTGAAAAGAAGCCGCGTGTGAGATTACGCCCAGCCCTCAAACTATGTGCTTGATGTTTAAAAAAAGCAAGAACAGAGTCCAGAGCTATATAAACTAAGACCCAGCATATGCGATGAAGTCAGAAATATCAGTCAATCTACTGAATTCAATATAGAGACACACACTAGATTTTACTGTACATAAAGAGTTTTAAAGGTTCCATTCTAGACTAATGTATATATAATGTCATTAATGTTTTAATCATGTCATTTCTGAACGAGGGCTGTGGCAGGCACACACTGAGGCTTACAGGCATGGTTTGGTACACTGGAGGAACGCAGAAGTGAGATGACTCAGTGAGGTGTAACTCATAGGCCATAATTGTATTTTCTTACTAAATTGCCCAGAGGAGAATAACAGCGGCTGGCTGGGGATTATTTCAGTCTAAACTGATTTAAACCCAGTGCATTTTAGCAGTTGATTAATCATCACCTACAGTACTGTATGAGCTCTGGATTTTATGTATCCATTAGCTTTTAATATGATTGCCCTGTTTTAGAGATGTAACCTTTTCCAAGATTTCATTACATATCTGAGACAACATGTTGGGGAAAATGAGAAGGAGAGAGTGAATGTGAGCTGAGCTGTGGGGGCACAGCCAAATAAAGGTGAAGCTACAGAATATGTAACAGATCATTATAACATTATAATGCTGTCCACTGTTGGAACTGGAGAAGCTTAGCTGTACTTTTTCAAACTGAAGAACATAAGCTTCAGTACAATACTACAGTAAGTGTTACAACCACATTTCATGAGCATATTTTATATGGGCAGCTACGGTGGCTGCCTCATTTCTGTTCTTGGAATACGAGACGTTTTATCATTCCGAACCCACTGAGGCACGTGTTCATTACCTGGGATACACATTCCTGCTCTGAGTTCTGAGTTTCTGTGTTCTGAGTTTGTTACATGACAACCACATAGCCAAATTTGAATGATTAAAACATCAGCAAGTACTGTATATAAAAGTAAGTTTAAGGTAGGCCAGACTCATTTAGCTTAGGTTCATGTAAGTGGAGTCACATTATGTGAGGCTCGATTAGGTTAGTCTGGGTTGGCACAGGTCAGGTTAGGAGACTGCACAGTGCTAACTGACTGCGTCTGTGCAGGTACTAAAGTCTTTCTGGATATTTGACTTGTCTTGACATCTGTTTGGTCACATTTGCCTTTTCCCTTAGTATCTCTCTTTATTTGTTCTTCTTTCTTTTAAATATACCTGTTTAGGTTAGCCTTGACTAAATTAGGTTGAACTGGGAGAGGCCAAGTGTGAATGGTTTAAGACCAGGCACAGTGTCTCTCCTCTCAGTCATCCAGGTGGTTTCTACAAAATTGCTGGACTTGCTTGATCAAGTGGTTGCCAGGCTGTTTCTAGTTGGTTACTAAGATCTTTTTAGAAATTGTATCTTTTTATTTCCCACCA